GGTATTGGACTCGTTAGTCCCTACACCTACGTGCGCAGACACTGCCCCCGAAAATGGTATTGTCAGTGGAATATGACGAGCATGGAAGAGTTCATGTAGATAATGTGAAGGCCCGTTCTACTAGAGAATCGTGCACAAGTTAGCCCCGCGCCATTTACGGGACGGTGCGGACCTCGTTGCTCACAGCCAAGGAATTACTGCCATAATCGGGGGGGAGGGGGGACTTAGGGTTAAAGTATGAAGATGGAGCGTAGGGCGGATAACTGCAAAGGCCGTAGTCAGTAAATGTAGGACAGAAGGTGAAAGAAGGAAGATGAGGGTCATAAATTTGGACTAAGAAAGAGAGAGGACATATTACGGCAGTACGTACCAGATTGTCAAGAAGATTAGGATATTTTGGGCGACTAGGAGAGCGTCTAGTAATCCATATACGAAGATTGTGAGGCACATTGCTCAGTTTGAGTTCAGGCTCAGTTTCGTCTCCTTCAATATTCATGGCCAAAATATCCGAGAGAGTTGTTTGCCTCCTGGCAGAGGGCAGACCATCGTTAAGGAAAGTGTATCCGTTGATGTGAACATTATGTCTGTTGGTACCAAGAACTCTCGAGGCAGTCCGTTCGATTGAGAGTAGAGCCTCTGTCCGCCCGTTGACATACACGCCGTAGTGCTGTCGAGGAAGATGAAAAATAGTTTTATCAAATATCCTGTCATAGCACAGAAGAATTATCACAATTGGGGCTTGGTTCTTCGTCATATGGAAAATTTAGCAACTTTTATTGGCAGACATAGCAGCCGTGGATCATAGAGAGGTGTAAGTAGGCGATAGTTCAGCTGTGGTTATTACTCTTCTTATCAAGATGTCGCCACTCTATCTACAGAGTCAATGATAATGGTAAATCATGGCCTAGGTTGAGATCGCCTCGAAAGCTTTTAAAACTTATAGAATAGTTGCATTTTGTAAGTGACAAGAGAGAGAGAGAGAAGGCAGTGCATGATGTAAGCCATAAAATTCTTCCAGAGTCCTTTCTATAGAGTCTGCCAAACTTTCGAAAGATTTCTGTCGCTTTTTTGTTGCCGCATTTATTTCTGACGGTGGATGCCAGTAGGATTTCGAAGGCTCAGACGAATAAAAGGACTGTGTTGTCCAAATAGTGATGTCAGCGACGCCGCGTGGTAGATGCGCTGGAATAACACGCGGACCGATTAGGGCATGGCAGGCGTTATTCGGGTTGCCAACTGAGAGGGATGTTGATGGCACGCGTAGGTGCAGAGGCAGGCACCAGCCAACTTCTTAATTGTACCTATTTACTTGCTATAAATCTCCATTAAACCTTCGGCCATTTGGGTGAATTGTGCGGCAGAGAGAGCCGGAAGCAGGCGCCAAGATGCGCTGCTTTTCTGGAGGAAAGCCGTCCATAGTCAAAACCTGACTAAATCGTAGATTTGGAAGAAGAGTCACCAATTGTCGTAGATAGTGGTGTCGACAACAGAAGGTCCCCCAGGTA